CGCCCACACAGGCCCCGCCCACACAGGCCCCGCCCACACAGGCCCCGACTCCATCTCTGTGTCCACTTCATGATCACGGCTCTCCTCCTCTGTGTGGGCGGCTTTGAGTCCACATCGGTGTCCATATCTGTCTGTGTGTCCACATCTGTCCGTGTGTCCACATCTGTCCGTGTGTCCACATCTTTCTTTGTGTCTACAGAGTCCACATCTCTGTCCATAGCTTCTGTGTGTCCACATCTCTCTTTATCCACAGATTCCGCATCTGTGTCCACATCTTTCTCTGTACCCACATCTGTCTCTATATGTCCACATCTGTCTGTGTCCACATCTGTCTGTGTGTCCAAAGATTCCACAGTCCACTATAGAGTCCACATCTCTGTCCACAGGCACTGTGTGTCCACATCTTTCTCTATGTGTCCACAAAGTCCACATCTGTCTGTGTGTCCAAAGATTCCACAGTCCACTACAGAGTCCACATCTCTGTCCACAGCCTCTTTGTGTCCACATCTGTCTTTGTGTCCACATCTGTCTTTGTCCACATCTGTCCCCTCCCCCCGCCCCCCCGGCTGCGGGGGGCTGCTCTCAGAGCGTGTGGCGTGTTTTGGCCCTCAGAGCGGGACATCCGGGTCCTGCGGCCGCTCTACAGCGTGGAGGTCAGCGAGACGGAGACGGCCACGTTTGAGACGGAGCTCTCTGCGGACGACCTGCACGCCACCTGGAGGCTGAGGGGGGAAACGCTGCACCCCGGCGCCGACGTGGACATCCGGGAGGACGGCGCCCGCCACAGCCTGACCCTCTTCAACTGCCGCACCCACATGGCCGGCGGCGTCGACTTCTCCGCCGCCAACGCCAAAACGTCCGCTCAGCTCAGAGTCAAAGGTGACCGGAGTCTCTGTAGCGGCCGGAGCTCCACGCTCAGCGTTAGCTACACCCATTCAGCGTTAGCCTGAGGGAGCTACGTCCAGCCAAACCTCTGAGAAACTCTGACCACCCATAGGTGACCGGAGTCTCTGTAGCTGAAGCTGTAAGAGCCACAAACAACCTCCTCCTGTGTACCGAACGGTCGGTTTGGCTACGTCCATCCAAACCTCTGAGAGACTCTCAGAGACTCTGACCACCCAAAGGTGACCGGAGTCTGTGTAGCAGCCGGAGCTCCACGCTCAGCGTTAGCCTGAGGGAGCTACGTCCACCCAAACCTCTGAGAGCCTCACAGAGACTCTGACCACCCAAAGGAGTCCAGGAGTCTCTGTAGCTGCAGGAAAACAGCAGAGCGGCTCCACGGGAGGTTTTCAGAGCCTCGAACAGCCTCTTTCTCTGTCCCGATCGGTCGGTCTGAGCCCCAGCCAGAGCTCCACGCTCAGCGTTAGCCTGAGGGAGCTACATCCAGCCAAACCTCTGAGAGCCTCTCAGAGACTCTGACCACCCAAAGGTGACCGGGAGTCTCTGTAGGGCGGCTCCACGGGAGGCTTTCAGAGCCTCGAACAGCCACTTTCTCTGTCCTGATCGGTCGGTTTGAGCTCCACCTGGAGCTCCACGCTCAGCGTTAGCTTTAGCCTGAGGGAGCTACGTCCATCCAAACCTCTGAGAGCCTCTCAGAGACTCTGACCACCCAAAGGTGACCGGAGTCTGTGTAGCA